CTAAACAAAACATAAAAGTGTTTTATTTTATATTTTATATATGAGACTGGGGTTTTGTACGTTGGGGTTTTATCCGGTCACCATGATTTCCCCCCACAGCCAGTCAAGCACCAAGTATGATGCACCATATAGATGCCATCCCACTTGTACGGTACTCGGAAAAATTGGCACAATTTTCATATTAAAAAATGGCACAAATTTAAATTCAAGCTCACAAACCACAAACGAGGCGGTCCGACTAATTACCCAAATGTAGCCAAATAAAGCCGCAATTAAGTCAAATAATGGTCCTACATGAATAAATCGGACTGCTAATCACTTCTCGACTAGTATTTGGTGTCAGAAAGTCACAAAAAATTGGAAAACTTACTTTAATCTGAGTTAATAGATCGCGTGCATGTACCGACGGAGCGAGGAATTACCCAAATGTACCCAAATGTAGCCACAATGAAGTCAAATGATTGTCGTACAAGCGTAATTTGGGCAATCACTTCTCGATTAAAAAAAAAAAAAATGGTAAACTTAATTTAATCTGAGTTGTGTTAGGTTAGGTTAGGTTAGGTTAGGTTAGGTTAGGTTAGGTTAGGTTAGGTTAGGTTAGGTTAGATACATGCACTTGATCTATTAACTCGGATTAAATTAAGTTTACCAATTTTTTTTACTTCGTGACACCCAAATACTAGTCGAGGTTAGGTTAGGTTAGGTTAGGTATGTGCACTCGATCTATTAACTCAGATTAAATTAAGTTTACCAATTTTTTGTGACTTTGTGACACCAAATACTAGTCGAGAAGTGATTGGCAGTCCGATTTATTCATCTAGGACCATTATTTGACTTCATTGCGACTACATTTGGGTACATTTGGGTAATTCCTCGCTCCGTCGGTACATGCACGCGATCTATTAACTCAGATTAAAGTAAGTTTTCCAATTTTTTGTGACTTTCTAACACCAAATACTAGTCGAGAAGTGATTGGCAGTCCGATTTATTCATCTAGGACCATTATTTGACTTCATTCCGGCTATATTTGGGTACATTTGGGTAATTAGTCGGACCCCAAACGAGGTAACGAGCTTATGTTTGAAGCTATCCAGCGTATTAGAGTAAATGATGATGTTTGGTAACTTGTTATATCACCTTTGTTTAGCCCTGATTTCCATTTATGCACCTCGATCATATCGCCCCTCACTCTACGTCTCTCGAGGGAGTGCAGATTAAGATTCTTTAACATGTCTCTGTACTCAAGGTTCCTAATGCCCAGGATTAGTCTTGTCATTCTTCTCTGAATTCTTTCAATGGATTTTATATTTATTCTGTAGTACGGTGACCAGAACTGAACTGCGTAATCCAAGTGAGATCTCACAAGCGCAAGATATAGTTTTAGGATGACCTTGCTAGTCTTGTAACTAAGGGCCAATTGCAAGAACATCCACGGTGTACACCATGCTGTGGTAGCCCCATGGTCGGTTTGCAAGAAGCACTCTGGGCTAAAAAAAAAAAAATCTACGATTCGTTATTGGAACGTGGAAGATTTCCGTGGTACTCGCAACCCCGCCCGATGACCACTACGATGGAACTATATTTTGAAACCAAAAGAAAAGAAATAGAATTGGACGCACATAAATTGTATAAATCTGCAAAGGAATAATATTTTTTATAAGATATCCTCCATATACCTGTAGAACAGCACATGAAGAATTTTATTGTTCTTTTTAAAAGAATTCCATGTTTGTGTTGGAACATCCACCAACCTCTACTTGCCTCATCGCCGCTTATATCCTCCAAATTCTCCTAACCATCATAAAAGGTAAGCCTTTAGGATAACTAATCCAAATAATTTATGTGTAGAAATGTATGGAAATCAAATTAAGCTAAAAAAAGTCGTAAGTGGTCTATTTGAAGAGTGGTGAGAACTGCTCCTTCTGGGATGGTGAATGTCGTCCCTTATCAGAAATATTATCGACCTAATTTTCATAATGAGAGCAATTAATAACTGTCCAGCACTACCAAAATAATTATGTCATTTGTATAAATAGTTAGTAGCCTAAATTCCATATTTTAATAAGTTCAAATATGTCAGGTAACCAGTGCCAGGTAGTTCCCAGGCATGTTTCATTTGTGTATCAGTTTAACCCCAATTTGTTACTAATAAGAGAAATTCAGTGGCATAAATTCATGTGCTTTTTTTTTTAATTCCCTTAGTGACTCAATGTATTGCAAGAAAGAACTACCTTACCACTTTTGTGCAACATTTGGAGTGATGGTAATAATTCACTGCCATTGAAAGTGGTAGAATCAAGTGCAGATATATTGGCTTTGTATGTCCATGATTCCAACAAAAATGAATGTCTTCCAAAATAAATGAAATTTAAGGTCTTATTATCTTTTCGGTCATCCATGGAATTTTAGGATTTTAAGTTGACCGATGTTTTCCAGTTAGGTTAAGTTAGGTAGGTCAGGTTAACATTTTGATGTAGAACATTAAAATTTTAAAGGGCTTATAATTTTTTCTATGAATTTATCCAAAAAAAAAAAAGGATCAAAGTTTTGGAATCACCATAAAATCTACATTTAACAGTCAAAATTACCCACAATATGTAGTTGTTGGAAACTTATAAATATTTACCCTCATAAATAAAGATGTTTCAGAATTTGCAAATTTAACTAACACAATATTAATGACTTTATTTTCACTTACAGGTGGAGATACAGCTGACTATTCACCTTTCACCAATATACTGAAGAAATAAATCTTGGTATCATGATTGATGGGGAATTTTTCTGGTTCATGGGAAGATTTTGGAATTTGCTACCTAACCTAACCTCAGAATTAGTTCTCAGACTCGGAACAGAAAAATTTGGAGACTCCGTAAAATCCCCAAATTACACAAAGACCAGAAAAAATGCAGCCTCTGGAATTTTCAGAAAATATGCCTTGGAGAAATCATAATATATGCCTTAATTATTATTATTTTTTAAATTTTACACTCTGCATACATGCATGGATATTACGTATTAATATATTTGTGAAATTTGTGGATGATTTTTCCTTTAAAATACTGTACTCTTGATCATCCATATATTATAACATATCCTGCTTTTAATAAAGGTTATATTCTGACATAAGCATTATCATTGTATTCTCATCCTTATTATTATTACAGTTTATATGAAACATTAAAAATGCAGGAATAATTTGCAAATAACTTTGCAGACTGTATTGAGGATATTTTTAAACCATTTAATTATCATCTTGTTCTATGTTTAACATTATTGGTCTCTGATTAGTTGGTAGAATCTCTTGAATATACCAACTGTATTTGGGTTCCATGACATTTGCTCACAAGATGAACCTAATCTAGCCTAACCTAACCTAACATGTCTTCCTTTCCATTATAGTTGTGAGTATATGCCTTGTAAACAAATGTCTGCACAATAACTATATGAAGACTCTCTGGTGAGGATCCATATGCAGTATTTACATAAATATTTTTTCAAATAAAAGATCATTTAAACAGCAGATACTTTTCTCCAACTGCTGGATTAGTCCATGTCATTAACTTATTGTATACATTTTTACTTCTGACATTGGGAAAGTGTTCATGTCTTGACTTTCTTTCACAGGGTATTTATTGCAATACTATAATCAGGTGGAGACATTTAGGAAACATCTCAAGCTTTCATATCTTGAAGATAACTGGCCTTTATACTTGTGTGATATGAAAGTAAAAAAGTTTTGGTACAAAGATAATTTCCTGTTTGATAGAAAACTAACAGTTATAGTGATATTTTTTCAAGATTTTATCCTAATTCATCTGTACAGTGAGTTCATCACTGTCATAGCAAAATTACAATACCTAATACTGTACTTTGTTATATTCTACTGACTTCATCCACAGAACAGGCCATAGTTCTCTTTATTTACACTCACCCAACCCCAAGTTCGTGACAAACTTATTACTTAATTGTTAGATTTAATAAGGATAAAGAAGAAAGGAACAGATATTACACTATTCCTACTGTACAGTAAGTGATCGTATTTCATTCCCAGAATTGGCTTATAATCAAAGAAAATAGGAAAATGAGGTGCACCTTAGCTTGGGACTCAAGTTTTTCATGCTTGTAAATCGTGTAGCATGAGTAAACGTTTCGTGCCACTGACAACATTTTGAGGGTGCAAGCATACCAACCTCCCAGTCTTCCGCCAGTTGATACACCTGACTACACTACGATGACAAACAACAAATGACGGTCGGGTACCACCACGGCCCATCTTGAAAAATCACATTATTTTTACTCCATTGTATTACGACCACCGGGATACCACAACGTGGTATACACCACGGAGCTTCTTGCAATTGGCCCTAACACTCATTCCTTTCAAAGCTTTCTTTATTTCCTCTACTACCAGGTTGGTTGGGCACAGCCACCCAACTATCTGGCGTTCCATCCAGTGGATTGAAGCTGACCATGCTGTTGTATCATTTCACATCATCAAAGAATCTCGTGGTGAGCCACCCAGGAAGTGCCAAAAACGAGTTTACAAGAACCTCCAGACAAGGCTGAATACCCTCAACCAGGACCGCCAAACTGGTCGCAAGTCAGTCCAAGAGTTTGTGCAAGGCGCTGGCTATAACATTCGTTGGAAATCTTAAGCAATAATATGCAATGTGACGTATTTAATTTTGTAATTCATTTATGTACCAGTTTTCACTAACATACGGCAGAATGTTTTCGTTAAAGGTAATAAATGTTTTATGTTATGACGTTGATATACCTTGAAGTTAGTTTCAGTAACAAACGTTATAAAATTTTCGCGAAAACATGTCAATAAAATTGATGTGCCATTTTTTCTTAGTCGGATGATTATGCCTTTTTTCCATTTCCATATTTTCCTATTGCCATTTTTTCTGTGCCATTTTTTTTTCTACATTCCACTTGGACGATTACCACAAAGACGATCGTCTATTTTATGCGATTTTTACCTAAATGATCACATAAGATTACATTGTTACGTTAAATCACTTAAAACAGACGATCGGGTAAATATTTAGAAGTTGCCAACATCTACTACACCTACTTAAATATTGAGTCTTACATAGGGATAAAAGAAAAAACGGTCAATTTATAGTATCATATCGGTCTTTATTTCAATATTATAAATAGGTTTTTCCTATGTATTTTGATGAGTTTTGAACGAATTTGATATTCATTTCCACCGGAAGTCATGTGTTTTGCAGATAAACCCCCAACAATCATAATGGTAAATGTTGGATTTTTTTTAGAATAAATAAATTATATTACCAACCAACCAAGAAAACCCAACCTAACCTAAACAGGGGGCTCTGCCCCCCTGGACCCCCCGTCGGAAGGGGTGTCAGACCTCCTCCACCAGATGTAAACAATACATGGTGACACTTGTGAATGAACAAAAGTAATATTCTAGAAAGATAAATAATTTGGTATTCCTTAATTTCCTGTGTAAATATCATAGAAGAAAAATGTCTTAGAATTGTCTAAAGATTACGAAGTACATATTAATAACAGTGAAAGAAAGACTGGTGTAAAATTATAAATTAACCCCCCCCCCAAAAAAAGTATCTTATTTTATTTTAAAGCGTTTGTTTGAAATGTATATTTTTCTGTTATGTTAACCAATAAAATTACCAACAATATTACTTGTTTAAAGTGGGCAGAGCGTTGAAGTAGAGGGAAATTGTGGGTTACTATTTAGTAGTTGCCAACACCTAACTAAATATTAAGTCATACTGTATACAGTACGGTATAGTGAGAAAGAAAAAAAATATTCTATAATGTTTGTTGTAAATTTATTGTTTATTTCTTGCTTATTTAACAGAAACTTTACTGTCTATGAAATGTGCATAATGAATAAGTTAGGCAGCTGCACTGGCACTCATATTACTGTGCTGTTTTGAGGATGAAAGCATTGGAAAACCAAAATTCGGAAAGTGGAGAAGCTTGAAATTCAGACCAGCCACATGGATGGGTTAACCATGAAATTATTTGCTTTTTTTCCTTCCTGAACACCAATCTATTACAGTACAGTACAGGGTACTGCAGAAGTGTTAGTCAACAAATACAGACATTTGTTTTTTCACTCCATCCATTCATTTTATCCTCATACACCACTTGACATCTTGCCCCCCTATTTTTCACAAACTGCTGGTTCCTGGATGTCCATTGCCTCTCACTTTAAAATCTTTTTGTACATTTTTTTCTTGTCATCGGGGTTCATCCATATTTGATAAAATGGTATTATTTTGTAATGTCACTTGGTCATTCTGTCATATGTTTGGTTAGAGAAGCAGCTAAAGAATGACAACACCTGTGTATTGCAGATTTAAATAGTTTGTACTGTATGTTTTCAATACTTGTGCTGAATTAATACACGAGGTCATTTTTATATACATAGTATTGTTTGTTGCATTTTAACTTGATGCCTGCACGGTAAAAATGGATGGTTGAGTTTCCTATTTACTGTTTCCTATGAAGACTGTTTTGGTATTTTCATTTTAGGAATATGGTTCAGTGAAATTGAAAAGCATTTTGCCTTAACTGAACTTTTTAGTTGAACCCAGCCTGACAAAGGCCATCTTTCATCCCTTTTTGACGGAGTTGTCATCTTCACCTCATGGAGACCCTCCACCTGCTTTTGTAAGTAAGTGCTAAGAATATATAACTTTTATCAAGGATTTTAATGCTTTGTCAATGAGGTGATATAGCCGGGGGTGTATGTCCTCCTGAGGATAGCTTGCTGTATTTAGATTCAAAATCAGGTGATTTGTAAACAAGAGTAAATTACTGTACTGTTCTGTGTAAACATGAACAGTTTTAAGCTTCTGTTTGCTACAGTCATATTTATTCTGTGGTTTCAAATGGAATTTAGAGTTGTAAGAAAAACACATTATATTTCATGAATAGCCAGTATGGTTTAGTATAAGAATTCTTCTGAAATCAAACAGTACAGTACACATGTGTATTCTCTACATCTCAGGGAAAATATAACCAGTAGTAACATTAGCTTGGCATTAAAAGATGTCTTGGATTGCTGAAGTATTTGTTGTTTCAATTTCTATTTGGATATTGTTCAATGTTTTTTCTTTGCAGGCGAAAGATGGGCAGAACTATGTGTATGTATTCCGTGATGACTTATATTGGGTGTGTGCAGTGGGCAAGGGAAGTTTTCTGGAGCAATGTGGTCATCTGTTAATAACCGAGAGTCTATCCCAGCTACACCGGGTGTGTTCAGTCTTATGTGGTGCTCTAACACAACACAGCATAATGGCAAACACTACGCTCATCACTGAGGTTGTGCAAGAGACCATGGTAATTGATAATTCCTCTTGTGTCAGACAAATATATTAAGTTTCTTGTACATATTGGAGCACTATGAGTAAGTACATGTTGTTCTTTAGTCCTTGATATTTTTAAGTAATTTTTAAAGAAGGGGCCAGATATATATTTTTAATTTCAGTTAAATGTTTGTAAACTTTTGTAGTATAGTTCCATGGAAAATTAAAAGAAATTATTAACTAACATCATAATGAACAAAAATAATTCCACCTTAGTGTAGTACATGTACTACTGTATTTTGACAACAGCACAGTACTGGTTCCATCACTGCATGGTTTCACATCTGTAATCTATCTCAGCTATCATCATATGGCAGGGTTGCTCTTTTGAACTAGGTACAGTTTAGCCTTTTATATTGAGAGTGTATTTTTGTTTCTTAGATTTTTTTTATATGAACTACCAATAGTAAATAAATGGGGTTTTAGAAACTAAAATGTATGTTAAGCTAAGATTCAATAATTTTTTGTCTAGTCTGAGATAAATGTGACGGATAATACAATTTTCAAATTTATTCATTTTAGACCCCAATCCTATGGGAAGGGGCCCTGTGACCTGGGGATATAACCCCTTAGACTAGCTGATTATACAGAATTGCTTGATCCCAACTGTTATAAACTGGGATTTGGGGATCAACTCACAATTTTTTAATGCTATTTTACCTTCCGTGTTTTATTTGGACTAATGTCAGGTATTGATAATATATAAATGTTATAGAATGGTGGGATCCTGCAGCTACAGACAGCAGACAAGCTCCAGTCCCATATTTACAGTAGTGTTGTGGCTGCCAAGGAAAGTTCTGCTGTCAGTGCTGCTCCAGGACTGGTTAGTACACACCTCTTATCTCTATAGCCCAATTTTATATTTTTATGACATACTCTATGTGCTAAATAGAGATTTATATGCAGGAGTTAGTGGAGGGAGTTTTAGGGAAATATGGAGTGCTAGAGTATTACCAATGAAAAGAATAGGAGATACATTGATAGAAATACAGTGAACCCTCACTTTACGCGGTCAATTGAACCCACGGCGGCCCGCGTAAAGTGAACAACATAACATATGGGATTAATTGAAATAGAGACCGGGCCGACCCCCAAACTCCACTTTTTCAGACACAATACCTACGTTGTAGTAAAAATAACTTCTTAATTTTATGATGGTATGCACACACAATTAATAATTAAGAGAAATATCAATAATATTAGGTTTTTTAACACTTACATTAGTAGAAAAGATGGCTGGGCACACGGGGATCGGGGGTTGGTTCCGAGGCAGAGGGCAGATTATATATTGGCCCTCACCTGTATCTTTTGTATCAATTGTATCACTATCCACCACAGAGGCTTGCAGGGCCTCTTTGTCAAACCCCTCAAAGTCCATATAAGTCCATATCCTTACTATCACTATCACTGACTTGGGCCGGCTGTGGTGGGTGACGGGTGAAGAACTCGGTAATGTTTTGATGACTGGGCGACCTTGTGCGCACCCTGCTCGCACCGCTCTCCCCGTAAATGGGTACACACACCGCGGAAAGTGAGCATTCCGTGTTCAGCAGGGTACCGCGTAAACGTGGAAACGCGTAAAGTGGGACCGCGTAAAGCGAGGGTTGACTGTTTGTATAAATAGGATGATAGTGAGGAATTTGTGGTTTATATTGAAAGAGTATCAAATGTATAAATGAAGGCAGGATAGTGGAGAAGAAAGTAGATTGTTATATTTTGTGTTAGTGAAAGAAAAATAAACTACAGTACAGTACTCCCTCTTTATCGACGGGGGTTACGTTCTGTAAACGGCCGTCGATAAAGAAACCGTCGATACCGTGATGGTTACGTAATTTTTCTAACTATTATTAGCATATGTTGAATAAATGTACCTTTAAGCATTAATGCGTTTCCTTTACGCATAACCTTAAATAATAGTGTATAAATAATAATATAATAAGTGGACAAAAATACTAGCAAACTTACGATTTCATTTATTGAAGTGAACATCGGTCCTTACAGTAAACAAAACAGTGTACAGTACAGTAAAAGTCCAAAAATCCGGATGCCCAAGGCAAATTGTTTACCATTTATTATTACAACACTTTACACTGAAACGCGGGTAGTTTCAACAAAAATATTGTATATTTCCATTCAAGTATTTATTCAAGTCAATTAGGAGGGAATATTATTGTAATACAACAGTTTTTTAACTAAACCATTCGAAAAGTGATTACGGTAACATCTTTTGAACGAAAGAAAGCGCAAGTCATTGTTTTCGTCACGGTTTTATCCCACTTTCCACTGTAATACGTACGTAATTTCAACAAAAATATTACATTTCCGTGAATGAATTATATCAAGCACAGTATGAATAGAATATCATTGTAATATAACAGAATTTTAACCGAAAACTATTAAAAAAACGAGTAACATCTCAAGAACATCGGAAGCATAGGTAAAGTCTTTTGTTTTCGACATGTATTTTATCCTATTTTACATTGAAATACGTCACGTTTCAGCAAAACTACTATTTATTTCCGAGAATATATTCATTCAGGCGCAGTTTAGGTAAAATATACGTGTGATGTAATAATTTTTTAACTGAAAACGATTCGAAAAACACGTAGCCTCTAGCCCTGTTCAAGGAGAGGACTGGGAGAAGCTGTTTGGTGCTGCAGACGATGACAAGGAAAATGATTTTGATGGATTTTAATGAAAATATTCAGAAATATGGTATCGTAATATTTATTCAAGTCAATTAGGATATTATTGTAATACAATACAACAGTTTTTTAACTAAACCATTCGAAAAGTGATTACGGTAACATCTTTTGAACGAAAGAAAGCGCAAGTCATTGTTTTCGTCACGATTTGATCCCACTTTCCACTGTAATACGTACGTCATTTTAGCAAAAATATTACATTTCCGTGAATGTATTATATCAAGCACAGTATGAATAGAATATCATTGTAATATAACAGAATTTTAACCGAAAACTATTAAAAAAACGAGTAACATCTCAAGAACATCGGAAGCTTAGGTAAAGTCTTTTGTTTTCGTCATGTATTTTATCCTATTTTACATTGAAATACGTCACGTTTCCACAAAACTACTATTTATCTCCGAGAATATATTCATTCAGGCGCAGTTTAGGTAAAATAGACGAGTGATGTAATAGTTTTTTAACTGAAAACGATTCGAAAAACACGTACCCTCTAGCCCTGTTCAAGGAGAGGACTGGGAGAAGCTGTTTGGTGCCAAAATAAAAATCCGGCTAAATAATCCGTCGATAATCGAAACCGTCCATAAAAAATCCGTCGATAAAGAGGGAGTACTGTATATGTTGATTGATGTGGATGTGCTAAAAGGAAAACCACCCAGTGTCTGAACATTTCTTGAGATGAGAGATTGACAGTTCTTAGTAAGAGGAGAAGGGTGTGTGAATACTGTATTACAGTAATTGCAAGACATGAGGAGTACATGAAGATTGGAAAGAATGCAAAAGAAGAGCAGAAAAGAGATGGAAAGGTTGTCTCGTAGTTTTAAAATAAGCAAGAAGCTGAATTATCTTTAGGGAACTGAATATGATTAGAAAACGTGGTACAGTAATGGTAATGAAAATGGGAATACAGTAATATCTCCTTTAGCCGGAATCCCTCAATCCCGGAACTCTCCGATAGCTGGAATTGAAATTTTCTCAGAATCGTTCCCAAAGCTGGAATTTTTTTAAATTCTGGCTTTGGGAACAATTTTCCAAGGGGCACATTTTCCTGAAATTTATGAAAAGTTTTCCCAATACGTACCTGGAAAATTCCGGGGATGGGGGAGTTTTTTTTTTCCAGGTTTGAGAAATGAAAATCAAACGCATTTACTGGAAATTCAGAGAAACTTTTTCCGTTACCGGGAAAATTCCGGGGATATTTTTCTGGGTACGAGAGATGATGTAATGGGTAAATTCTGGAACTTCCGAGAACATTTTTCCGTTACCCGGAAAATTCCGGGGATGAGAGATTTTTTCCGGCTTTAAGAGAGTCGTCTCGTTACCCAGAAATCTCTCATTCCCGGAAATACTCTGCACCAATTGTTCCGGCTAACAGGAATATCACTGTACTATACAGTGAGTTCTGCTATAACGCGTGTTTTGACAACGCGAATTGGCTCTAACGCGATTGATGAATAGAGGAACAATATTTGTAAAACGTGAACGCGTTTGCTCTAACGCGATTCCACTCGAACGGTTGTTGTGGCTTGGCGCGGGGTTATGCAGTGTTTACAGTTCACGTTCGACATCACATGTTCAATTGAGTTATGTGTTTTGTTTGTGAACAATTGCAGAAATAATGTATGTAATATTTATGTATACAGTATACCTGTACAGTATATGTAAATTGTATAATTTTAAATAAAAGAGAAAATCAAATTACATAGCGTTTTACACCCGCGCTCTCTTTACATCACACTCAGTGTTTACAGTTCACGTTCGACATCACATATTCAATTGATTTATGTGTTTTGTTTGTGAAGAATCGCAGAAATAATTTATGTAATATTTATGTGTGTGTGATGTAAACAGAGCGCTTGGCCTCTCTCTTTCTCTCTGTATGAATGGAATTCGTGGTTTAGAGTGAGTGAATACTACTACTTAAACACATCAATACTATGTTAATTGATCACTGTATAATAAATTCATTCACTCATAATTTCAAATTCCCTTATCATCCTGTGTTATATACAGAAATACTTGAGTCCCTGAGCGAGTACACAAAAAGAAAACGGAGGACTAAGACATCCTGAAGTGGATAGAGAACGGACATCTCTACTGGGGGACTCAAACGTTTCTCATGTTTTGTGGGCACTGTAGCATAATATGAATAATATGTAAATTACAATTTACTTATATATATATATATATATATATATATATATATATATATATATATATATATATATATATATATATATATATATATATATATATATATATATATATATATATATATATATATATATATATATATATATATATATATATATATATATATATATATATATATATATATATATATATATATATATATATATATATATATATATATATATATTCTACATAGTAATCAACACCTCAACCCGCCAGGATCAAACCCACGCCCATGCCTATGATGTGACTGGGAACGCTAACCGCTGGACCACCAGGATACTAAAAGCAGTCCTAGACTTTGTTATATTTCACACAAAGCCTGTTCAACGAGCTAGGGTTCGAATCCTGGCGGTTGAGGTGTTGATTGTATGTAGAAGTCCGCGGCTTTATTGGGCTAATGAAATATATATGGATCCTCGTGTTTCGAAGCCGGATTTGGTAAAACGTTACTCTGACCACCTAAGTGATACGGGTGGTCCCCATTAGAGGTTCACGGCGCCATAAGCTCGTTGAACAGGCTTTGTGTGAAATATAACAAAGTCTAGGACTGCTTTTAGTATCCTGGTGGTCCAGCGGTTAGCGTTCCCCGGTCACAGTCATAGGCTTGTGGGCCGTGGGTTCGAATCCTGGCGGGTTGAGGTGTTGATTATATATATATATATATATATATATATATATATATATATATATATATATATATATATATATATATATATATATATATATATATATATATATATATATATATATATATATGTAAAAATTTAAATAAAAGGGAAAAATTTAAATAAAAGGGAAAAACTAAATACGTAGCGTTTAAAGTGTTAAAGTGTACTGTACAGTGTTGTGGCTTGGCGCGGGGTTATGCAGTGTTTACAGTTCACGTTCGACATCACATGTTCAATTGATTTATGTGTTTTGTTTGTGAACAATTGCAGAAATAATTTATGTAATATTTAGGTATACAGTATACCTGTACAGTATATGTAAATTGTAAAACTTTAAATAAGAGAGAAAAACAAATTACGTAGTGTTTTAGACCCGCGCGCTCTGTTTACTCCACACTATCAGTTTGAAACACGTGTGAAGTTTTTAAGCGTCCTCAGTGATTTCTGATTACTGTTTCTCCAATTTTGTGACTATGGAAAAGAAGAACATCTCTGGGAAGCGTTCTGGTGATCGCATTTCCGGTGGTGATCGTAAAAGAAAGGCTATAACACTTGAAGAAAAGCTTGATGTTGTCAATTGTTTTGAAAATAAGGAAAGAACATGCGATATTGTGCATGCAACGGGAATAAAAGAATCTACTTTACGCACCATTAGAGACAATGCAGCAAAGATTAAAGCAAGCTGTATTGCTGGAAAAACCTTGAGTGCTAGCAAAAGTGTGAGATCACGGCCAAAGGAACTTGAGGAGATGGAATGGCTTCTAAGTGTTTGGATAGAAGATCAAACGAAAAAGCGACCTGGGACCAGCTTCCTCACCATTAAAGAGAAAGCCTTACCAATATATGAGGACCTAAAGAAAAACTGCACCTGATGATGATGATACTGTTGATGACGATGACAACTGTCAAATCCTGTCTGCATGACTCCTCAACCTCAACCTTCTCCCCCATCAAGTTGTATTCATATTTTTTCAAGATAAAGTGTAACATTTACTTTATGATTTCGTTATTAGATATGAATGTAACATTTATTTAGACTGTGCTATCGTTTATGTTAGGCTAACTACGAAATTTTTTTCGATTTCGAGTAATCTGCACCTAACCCCATTTTCTCCATAAGCCCTGTTATTTCTATTACGCGAATTTCTATAACACGATGTTTTACAAGAACACAACTATCGCGTTATAGCAGAACTGACTGTACTGAATGAAAGGAGCAGGGCCGGATTAAGCTTAATAAGGGCATGAGGCACAGATCAACTTGGGGACCCCCTACCCTCAAGGTATATATATACTGTATATATATAGCAAGAACAAAATATACCAAAATTTATCAATCATTTCATCAATATTAAGCTTCTACAAAATAACACATTCAATGTTCATAAGAGACAGAAAATTAAGACGTTGCTAGGACATCGTTGAACGAAGTTCATGTTTTATATGCTTCAACTTCGAGAATGTTTGGATTTTGGGGCCCCTTAGAGTAGAGGGGCCTGAGGCCAGTGCCTCAAGTGCCTCATGATTAATCCGGCACTGGAAAGGAGGTAATAAAAGAAGAGATAGCTAGGGTAAAAATTATGATTGACTGTAAATTTTAACAGATTAGATACAGTAGATTTGATAACAAGACAAATCCCTAAAAATTTATGGTTGGATTTGTTCATGTTACAGGAACAACTCAGATGATGTTCTTAGTTGGGTCAACTGATTTTTTTGGTTTTCTGCAGTTTTTAGTTTATACAAACCAGTCATTATAGGACCAGGGGCTTAATGGGTAATACAGTATACAGTACAATATACATGCATCTTTGTCAGTCTGTCCAAACTCAGCCATAAAATGGGATATCCAGGATCATTCCTTGATATTTCTTGGATGATTTTACTTTTAAGAGTGTAAATTTGTTAAATGGGTGAAAATATATGCTTAATACATAGTTCTCATTAAAGCTGTAACACATGCTGTTAGCATCATATTTACAGTTTGGGTTGGAAAAGTCTGCACCTAGTACTGCTGCACAACAGTCAGCTTTAGCTGTGGACACTGGCAAAAGAGAGGTAAGAGGCACACCACTGCTTCATTTTGTTGTAGTTTTCATTATTCACTATCAGTCTTTCATGTCCTGATTTTACTTATACATTTAGATTCCTCATTTGTAGAAATACTTGTATATCAGTAGATATATTTTTTGGTCCTTTATAATGTATTGGTCCTTAGCCACACTGCTTGACGTGGAGATATAGAGTCCACTATTCCTGGCCTCCCTGTATACATAGCTACTTTATGTTTTAGAACTGCACTTCCCAAACACGGGGTCGCAACCCCAAATGGTGTCATAAGGTACATCATTAGGGGTCGTTAAGATCATATAGATTTCAGGATCAGGCCTCTAATTTTAGTAATAAGATTGTAGTAATGGGGAGAGTTAGACAATCATAACATTAGACCCCATCCACCAGTATCAAGCATTTACTAGGTCTTGGCCCCACAGTTTGTTGTGTGCCGCAGTATATAGAAGGGTTGGGATATACTGTATAGCGACTTATAGAAAGATTTTTTATATCACGGCTATCAAAATTATCAACAGTTTCCTATATCTAGCGATAATTTTTTTATTTTGCAAGGGAAATCAGGCAGGAAATATTTCAAATTTATCCTGACTACCAAAATTATTGAAATTTTCCAATATATAGCGATAAATTTATTTACAGTAGACTCACAGCTTACGTGGGATTATGCTCCTGGGACCTCACATGAAGCCAAAAACCGTATAAAGTCAGAAACACTCCTATATAGCCCCCAAAATACGAGTTGAAATTTGTTTATCTCTTGTGCAAAATATATGATGTCTATATTCAAATTATTTGCTGTCTTGCAAGGATTCCAGCAATGCAATTTATATTCTGCTAACTTTAGACTGTGACATTTTATAAGATAAAAACTTTAAGCCTAAAACCACAGTCACCCTTACTGGAAGTCGGAGAGGAGTTGATTTATTATGACAGCTGGGCCTGAGCACAAACAATGATTACCTAGTGGTATTTATTTATCTGTCATATGGAGGGAGTTTATGTTTTTCTCTTATAAAATGTCAATGAATTGACTTAAGAGAATGTAATTAACATTGCTGGAATTCTTGTAGGATGGTGATTAATTTGAATATAAACATGCTATAGTTTGCACAAATTTTAGTAATAATTAGTACATTTTAGTTCAAAGGACTAAAATTTTTATCTCTTGTGCAAAATATATGATGTCTGTATTCAAATTATTTGCTGTCTTGCAAGAATTCCAGCAATGCAATATTTATTCTGCTAACTTTAGGCTGTGCCATTTTATGTCAAGTTTAGTCACTTTTATTGGCCTCCAGAACCTAACCCTTGGACCCTATCTTGCGATATATCCCGACCCTACTGTACCTTCAACATTCGCAGGGGTTAGGTTCCTCAAAAACGCCATGAATGTCAAATCCGTGAATGTTAAACTTAAGACCTCGTGAGAAATATGGGGTTAGGGGAAGCAGAGGTAGAACTGGAGGCTTTACCACTACAACCTGCTAGGAGATGTTCGTACACCCGCTTTGCCTTCTCCCTTATCACTATTCCACTAAGAGGAACTTTTTTCTGTGATTGGTCCTCTATCCACAAATTAAGGGCATTCTTCACTGCATTTAAATCCTGTACTGGTGAAGTATTGCCTAGCCTATTCGCTCCCAGTGCTGTCACAGTAGAGTATACTCTCGATTTAACGGAATCCAATATAATGAACTCTCGACTTAGTGGAGGGCATTTTTTTTTTTTTCGCTCGATTTAGTGAACTGGTTCTCTAAATCAAGTTTAATCCCGTATATGCTCACACCTACAGTACACTTCAAACACATGATACAGTAAAACCTACTTCAGCCTACGGTGAATGTACTGAATGTATAAAAGCGATAAATAATGATTTAAAGCAATTACCCGGAAAATCTGAGAAAATGGTGAGAAAATTACCCCAAACATTTCTGCTCCGGGCCTGTGGACAAAGGTTCCCAGCTTTTGTCCCAGCGTTATGAAAGATTCCACCATGTTTAGCCACATCCTCACATGGTTGGTGTGTGGGTGGAAAGAGTGAGGTTACATGTCAAGACACTTACACAGCACACATATTAACAGCACAACTAAACTATTGTCTTGTAAAATTTGACTTTATAATTTCCATTTTAAAATTAATTGATACATGGTGGCTTAATTTGGCTTATTTTTGCACTTAGACAACTGATTAGTGAATAAACCAGGGCATTATATACGAGTGATGTCATGAAGCTTCGCATCTGCAACCACAATGCATAAATTATCACAACCTGTACTGTATTCAAATGTACTAAGTTAATTACTAAAAAAACTTATGTCTTGTGCAAACTATAGGATGTTTATACTCAAATTAATCAACATGTTGCAAGAATTCCAGTAATGCAAGTTATATTTTGCTAAGTCAATCTGGTAACATTTTATATGTGAAAACCTTAAACTCCCTGTATTTTATAATCCCGACAAAGCACTCGTCCTGGCTGTCAACACCCCCCTCCCTCTTCCCCTTCCTCTCACCCAGCAAGGGAGGCAGATGTCGGTGGTTGATAACAATTAATGGGATGAAGGCGATTTTAAGCTAAAGTTTTTATCATTTAAAATGCCACAGACTTGACTTAGCATAATATAACTTGCATTGCTGGAGTCCTTGCAAGATAGGGATTAATTTGAGAATAAACATACCATAATTTGCACTAGACATAAAAATTTTAGTAATTAACTTAGTACATTGAGTACAGGCTGCTATAATTATTGCATATTTTTGCTTATAAAATGTCGCTGACTTGACTTAGCAGAATATAAATTGCATTGCTGGAATCCTTGTAAAGTAGGGATTAATTTTAGTATAAACATCCTATAGTTTGCACAAGAGATATAATTTTTGGCCCTTTCGCTTAGTACATTTGAGTACAAAGTGATTCCAGTAATGTTGCTCAAAATTGTGGCCTTTTCACTGGGAAAAGTCTGTATAACTAGCCCCAGTGGTCAGGATATTATGGTATTGAATGTAACAGAATATTCCAAATAAATTCTTTGTTTAGTTCTGTACATAGACACTGGTAGAAACAGACCGCACACTCTCAAAAAGTTCCATCTGCCTCTGTCATTCTTACTGGGCAAAATAATGTTTAATGTTATTTATTATAATTAGTAAAGATATGTTGCTGTAATAATTTGAGCTTATTAATACCGGTACCCTTCATATGCAGTAAAATACTTATTTTAACCTTATTGTTTGGCTTATCAATTAAGGACATATTGGAAACGTCTTGTAGAGAATTTAATAAGGATCATTATAGTATCAAATTCATATCCGTATCACAATTAGCCACACTTGAGTGAGGAAGGGGGGTGGGTGACTGTGCAAACCCTCCCACCAAAAAGGCTCCCCTCCCACTATCTCCAGCCATCTGTGTGACTGCGTGGTAGTGAGTTAAATATCAGCTGTTGAGGAGCGCTTGGCAATACTCCTTTCCACCCCATCTCTCTAATTACCCACACCTTTCTGCTTTCTCATTCTATGCAGGTGCTCCTCTACTTAAGAACGTTCAATTTACAAACGTTCAGAGATACAAACATCATCACTGAGGGGGGTTACCTGCGAGAACAGGTGTTTTATGTGGATGAGACTGGATTATTTTGAAGAATATTCCAGATAGAACAAACATTACCTAAGAGGAGAAGAGTGGGCCAGGTTTTAAGGCTGTATTAAAGGGTATAGCTGTACTAAATATCCATAATCTTTTCATTTTTTACAATATGTTTGGTATCTACAAGAGTCAAGTTGGACTTACAAACAATTGAACTTACAAACAAGCCTCAGGAACGTAACTCGTTCGTAAGTAGAGGAGCACCTGTATTTAAAAATGTTATGTAAACATAATGTTGAAGGGAAACAACTTTGCTCATTTATACTTATACATATCACAATCTCCCTAAAAACACTTTAGCTTTGTCTTTATTCCAGACATCTTCAGGTCATGAGACCCACTAATCCCCCACCCAAGAAAGGGTGATCTGACATTCAATTAAAAGATCGGTAATATGAGATCACTAATCCCCCACCGTACCTTCACCTGACATTGCATCAGGTCAGGTCAAGTTTCCCCTCAAAATACTTTAGCTTTTGTCTTTATTCCAGACATCTTCAGGTCATGAGACCCACTAATCCCCCATCCAAGAAAGTGACCTGACATTCCATCCCTGTAAATTCAGTTACTTCTGAAGATGTCTTGAATGAAGACGAAAGCTAAGGTGCTCCAGTGTACTTAGTTGACCAAGAGCTCGATTTAACAGATATTTTGATTTAACGAGGGGGTGTCTTGAATTAATTCGTTAAATCGAGAAAATACTGTAATTCCTTTCGGTCTGGAAACCCTGGCTGGCTCTCTTGAGAGGGCAGTTCTAAAGATGTTGAAGTCTTTAAACTGCAAGGGTAATATGTGAGCAGGGGGATCACGGAGACTGCAGTGGATGCGGGTAAACAGAGCAAAAGTTTACGGAGAAATAGTGCTAGGAATGATGACAAAGCTAAATTAGGCAGGGAGTTAAAACGTAAAGGCGACAAAGAGAGGCCTCGGATCACGACTAACTTAAATATCTACTATACAAACAGTAGAAGTATGAAAAATAAAATGGATGAAATCAGAGCGTTGGTATGTATCCCAAAAAATCGATATAAAAGCATTCACTGAAACATAGGTAAACTTATTCATTTGAGTTACCTGTTGAATACCAAATTAATGGTCACAAATTATTCCATACCGAAAAGCAGATTATTAAAAGAGGCAGGTTAACAATCTATGTTAGGGATAATCTGAAGAGTGAAATCAATAAGGAAATAAAACCTAAACTTAATACAGAAACAATTTGGATAGAATTAGCTGATGGTAGGGAAAAATTAATGAATGGAGTAATATAACGACCTAATCTCGATTGAGTTGAGCAGCTTATCTGGGATGAAATAAACAGGGCATCCAGACATAGCA